AATCGTATTCAAGTAATTTAATGTAATATAATGAAATGGGACTTGTCTGAGTCTGTCATTCGGTCACCGAAAACGCGGAGCAGTCCGTCAGCAATAAAGAGCGCAGTTGGTTGAGGCATGGGAAAAGTGAGCAATGACACAAAGGGGGAAAGTTTACAAAAGTGAGGTAGCCACGAGGCGAAAAGTATGTATATTATCTTGCGAAAGGATTCAGAATACAGTGTGAGACCACTTTGACATCACGAACAATTCATCAGACCATAGCTAGCCATCGAAGAATCAGGCAATGAAAACCCAGCTTGCGCCCAGAAGTATCCTTGTGGACAGTGTACATTTTCAATACCAGAGTTCCCCTTCAGCACACGGAACTTAGGTTATCAGATCAACGAGGACTTGAAGCTGACGATGCAAAAGATACGGCAAAATGTATTAGTTTATGGCTGCTGTATCTAATGCTTTGGTTATCCATGTTTCAGAACGAGTCGGACAAATTATATGGTTCCAAAGAGCGATAAAGAGGTTGCGGCCCGGAAGTTGAACTCAGAGGTCAAGAGCTGCTGGAAAACTCAAATTCCGTAACGACCATCACCAGTGTTTGTGGTCATTGAGATGAGAAATACACGGTGGGATAGAAAAGTAGCCATTACCAGCCAACACATCTTCAACCGTCCACAGTTTAGAGGGACCCCGAACTTTGTCAGAAGACGTCGGTCAGTGGCTGTAGGGATATAGCTACAACAGTTCAAGAGAATTCTATTTAACTAGGTGGTTATCTCGCCACACACGGCCAGTTACACTATTTTGACTATTGAATGTCCCAACCAGAAAGTGTTATCTCATTTCAGCAGATTCTCCAGGATGGAAAATCAGAATATTCATTATAAAGGTTTTTAAAGATGGTCAGTTGGAAAAAATACTGCTAGGTACTGATGTAGTTCCTGGTTGCCAAGCCATGCACGATATTTTCAAAACATTTGCACTGCGAATGTACTGCTTCATCTGGTGCCAAGGCAGCTTTGAATGCCTTCAGTTACCTTTCAAGCTAAGCAGTGGTCTGCTCTGCCATTTTAAATATCACGTCAACTGTAAGTAAGTTGATAGAGAACATGAGACAACTTTAAATACATAAGTAGAATAGTGTTATATATGACCCAAGTTTGTCTGAGCACTACCCGGAATCCTCCAACACAAGGCATCTGCCCTCATCCTCATTTTAAGTGGGAAAACGCAAACAGATAAAAGGATTTTGTGCACTTAATAACTGGAGGCCTTCACCAGCTAGGATTTTGATCATGTGTGGACTCCTGTGAGAATTGAGTCTCCTCGGTCAACCTCACTAGCGGATTGACTAGTTCCCAGAACACGCGCACCAAGAACTAACAAGAGAATATGAAGCTTGTATTCTTTCAACATTTCTTGCACCAACCGTGTTCGTATGAAAAGAAGATATGATGCCGTTGTTAGATAATGTACTAACCAATCATAAAGACCCTGCAGTAACCGTAGGACCTGATTGTCAAGGCCTGACTTCATCTGACTAGGTGAATACTGAAACAGAATCTGCAGTGTAATAATGCGCTTGCGGAAGCAATCAAATCACTACAGCTCCTTGAAATCATTCCTGAATGATGTATGTATATCTACAGTGTCCACAACTCGATATCGACTGTGAAGGTCTAGTCTTGAAGGTGGCCTGGGTGTGTGGCTCACCATCAATGGGGTCTAATTCATTTTCCTCGTCAGTAGCACCGAACTGTACGGGGGCACGCGTCTACTACTTATCAGTTTCTAAGATTCTTTTGAGATAATTCACGACACCATTTCAACGCCTAACTCATCATCAGAACATCGTGGAATCATTCTATATCGAGCTGTTCCGTCTTACATGTTAGATGCCGCCCACCATATTCTTTGTTTGGCCGACTGTTCTTTGGACTCCACCTTACACACACAAACCTCAGATCTTTTGACCAACCTGCACTAGGATTCACCAGACTCGAATTTTGCTCGTGTGTGAACTCATCAGTGGTACATATCCTCTGCCACACCCAGGGTTTGAATCCGGACCCTTTCATCCCGAAGTCGTGCATACCAGAACTGCACCACCCCACACCCTCCTGGAAGATCCAAATCATCAAGTTAAGCTTGTTCGCATGTTGTCCTCCATGACAGCCAGAAATGCCCCATAGCTTCGAATGGAGACACGGTACATGCCTCGTTACCTCCAAGCGAATGCCTCCCACCAATCAGGTCTTCCTCACAGGATGGGCCCAAAATACCTCCCTTTTAAACCTGCTTCACATATATATATATATATATATATATATATATATATATATATATATATATATATATATATATCACGCAAATAATGCCAGAAATCGAAAAGTGGTTGTAGAACTGCAAAATTTCAACGAACTACAGTAGGGTTATACGGCAAGGCTCTAGTACGTTACTCATATCTGGGTGAAAAAGGGAACATAATCGGACGAAAGTTCGGCCCCAGAGTGGATCAGCCAAACATCTTGACTCAGGTAGGCAAGAAAGAATGGTCGAAAGCAGAGGACACAAAATCCACGCTATACGTGTAGTGTATGTGAACGAGTCATTCACGGATAAATGCATACCTCAGGATGTGAAAATTTTGTCCGAAGTGCAAAAAAATGACTCAACTCAAAATCGTTTATCATCCGCGCACGCGTGGGGATCAAAAATATCAGATAATAAGCGAAATGAGTGAGAGCTGTATAAGGCACAAAGCGCATTCTGTGTCCAACATTGCACAATGTCACAATGTGAAGCGGGTAAACTAGACCATGGGATCCCCGGTATCAAAAACGTACGGCCAAGGCAGACGATCGTCAACAAAAGAAAATACAAGAGTGAAGCTTGATTAATTGCGCGTACCCAATAAAATAACTTGGGCCTGCTCGGAAACCAGGGAGTCAGTACCAGGTGACTGGGCGTTGAGAGGGCTAGAAACAAGCCGTGTACGTCAGGTAAACTGGGCTTAAAACAAACCTCAGTAAATTAGCGACACAACAAAAATGAACAAGCTAACCACAGATTTCCTCAGTCAAGTTCTCTAGCAGAGTGGAATTCTCGGTTCCGAAAATACCCCCGGTTTCTGCCTCGATTAGAGCTACCTTACCTGCAGCCCTTACTGACATAAAGTGGGTATAGAATAGGTTTGATAAGCCTGGATTCTTCGCTAGATAACAATTATTGAAATAGGGCACTTTACAGATGCTCTTCAGAATGACTTTTAACTTGATCGGTTTTCTTCATAACTTGACGAATTTCAGTTCCGGCACTGTGAAGTAGCAGGCCAGACAGGAACACGGAAGCATGAGGCTACACATTACCAAATGTGTTGAAATGAACTGATCCTTGCTTTTCAGTCATTCCTTAATCTCTGTCATTTATTGCCCCCATTATGTTTTGTTGCTACAAGAATCAATATCAGCCTCAGTAGCCCTATTCGAAGGTTTCCGTGATTATTTCAGCAGACGACAGTTATCGAGTTTGTTGAAGAATGCCAGGTTTCCAAGAATTCACTGGCATATCTTTCGGCTGCTTGGCCCAGAATTTGAACTTCCTCCAGATTGAGCAACGATCCTTCTTGGTCCTCGTGGACGCCCATCAGTGAGAATGGATCGTGTCTTTTTGTAGCTAATTCGTGTTCGTGCATTCGTATGGTAACCTTCTTCCAAGTTTCACCAACCTGGCTTTTGTCACAGTCCTTGCATTTTACCTTTCATACCATTTTTCTTCTTTCTTAGGTTTTCGGTTGCTCCTTCGGTCTTGATGTGACTCTTCTTAGGGTCTTGGATGGTTTATGAGCAACTGTATTACCTTGTGGTTGGAGGAGTCTTGCGGTCATTTCGGATTTGACTTTGATTTATGGTAGTGTTATCCTTCGATTATATTGCTTTCCCCGACTTGGCTTATTTCTGATTCCGTGTATAGTCCTTTGAAAGAAGTTTCTTAGACATCCACAGACTACCAATTATTCAGACGACAGTTACTCTATCCGGCTGCTCAGAGCTTAATGTAGATTTGAAGAGAGAGAATTTTCTACGGGAGTGTGGAACATTTCAAGTACTTCCAGCTGCGGTAAACAAGCTGATAAATGTCAGTCCTAATAATATACCGTGGTAAATAAGTCAACTCACAGTTGCTTATCCCGAAGTCTGGTCCCAGTGGGTACCCCGAAAATGTCCGATGAAACAACTGTGCAGTTGTTTCAGTTTACATTTTACATTTCACAAAAACCCCTCGCTGCAGAAACGGACCAACGTAACTGAATGCAAGAGTAGGCATTGTCAAATGTGGAGCAGGAATTTGGGTAGGAAGACCTCCTTCGCACCGGTGGATAATAATCCGATGACAAAACATACGCAAGTGGACAGTAAACGTATCGGTCCTGACTTTTTTACTTCTTCTCTTGGTCTGAGGAAAAGTGTGTCCCACTCTCTATCTAAAACAACGTGAGTATTCAGTTATTGGTTCGGTTTATTTTAGAAAAAACAGTCCTTTTGATGAGAATGGTAGGACAGCATTTGATTAGATTCTGATGGGTCATAGTCTGGGTTAATTTTGTTCCAGGAAATTTAGTTTCCTTGTATACCGATATGTTCTGAAAGATACCTGACCTGGCCAAAGAAAACTAACTGCATTTTCTGAACACCGCTACTCTTGATCTTAGATTTGAAGCAGCGGTACTAATGTTCGTGCTGGTAAGCATCTTACTTCCATAAAGAAACAATAGAAAAGTCATTTAAACCAAAGTACACTGTGTGTATTTGTAAATAGAAAAATTGACATCTATCGAAATGGTATATTGCTCCGTAATATCAGCTGAACTGGGACCAAACCGTTTCGCTTCTCAAAGCATCAAATCGATTTTTCTCAGAGACATCGCGTGCACGTGAATGAAGCAGGCGAAAATGAGATGAGAAAAATCTGGCATTAAAACAGTTTGTGCTGTTTCGGACAAATTATAGCTTCAACGATTTTCGTTTCTCCTTTTTCTCTATTTTTTCAAGTTCTTTTCGAGCTTTCTTTTCTCTTTTCTCCGTTTCTTTTCTCTCCCGCTCCATTCGTTCGCGTTCTTTTTTCTCGGCCTTCTCACGTGCCTTGCGTTCCTCTTTGGTTTCCGGGAGAGAAGGCAACACTGTAGGTGTAGTTGGTTGGGATACCGCCGGTAATGTTTGGGTAATTGGACTGTGAAACGGATCATATTGTTCTGAAATAGACCGTAGATTGGATTCTACTGATAGAACATCCAAGCTCAGAAAGTGTCACACCGGTAATGTTGTTTATTTTAAATAAAACATAGTAATGATATTCTGTTAGATATTCGTCGAACAAATTGGAAAGCAGATTCCATTTCAGAGTATCCAGTCGTCGTCCGGAAGTTCAAAAAACAGTACTGACAACGGTCTGCTTATTCCTTAAACTATACTCACTTTTATGCGTACTATAATGTTACCACGAAGAAAGACAAACATACCATTGAGAAGCGCAACTGTCAATAGGAAAATATACTAATATTCATAAATTTATTTTTGTTGTTGTATCGCACCAACCCGATACACACCAAGCAGAAAAGACTTATTCAAAAAGGCAGTAGAATCCTCACAACGAAAGTGATAATAGATAATTATGAAACACACAGTACATGTTGGGCGGGAAACAAAAGTTTTTGGAGACTACTTTCTTGAGGAAATAAGATCACATTTTTCGAACAAGGTAACAAAAAGATTCGAACAATTCTCCACTGGTTCATGTGAAAAGGTAAGCATGGATGAGCAGATAGTGCAACCGAAGATAATAAGTTCAGGTCATCGCTAAGCTTTGGTTATCGGTCAGGGAAGCTGAAACGCGCTAACCGGTTTCACTACTCTCAAAGCTGAGTATTCGGGAGGAGGAGGATGATAATCCCTGCAGTTTCTGCTGTTGAACCCGGTATAAAAACTGTCAAAGCAGACTGAACGCCAAGAAAAGGCCAGGTTTCAACGAACTGCTCAGCAACTGAACTTGATACTGCCGTGATTCCCTCACAAGCATATGATACTCTTAAGTGCGAAGCAATGGTTATCCTGTCGTTCGGCCTACTCATATGGTAAAATAGATGCTCTTAAATTCATGGACTGTTCTAACAGAAGTCAGCAAACTTAACTCGATTTTGCTTCGACATCGGGTTGTTCCTAACTTGGCAAACATGCAGCTGTTCTTGGAGACATTGAAAGTGACCCACTATTCACCGAATAGTAAATTTGATAAGCACAGCTGCAGCTACATTAAGGAAACTTTCTGGTGTACACTAATCTGTCACAATGACCGTAACCAGTAAACTCCTCATCGTCATATTTAAGACCTTTTATTTCTCTTCATTTTTGGCGATTGGAATGCAAACGTTGCTTTTCATTATCAACGAATTCCGCTGAAGGAAACACTGTGCCCTATCCCTAAAAATATAAAAGAAGCTTCTTACCAGGACACAGAATTTTATGCTCCCATACTGGTATACGGTTAGAAATGTACTTATATCTTACGACTGGCTTTCTACAGGTAAATATGCAGTTTATTCGAGTTGGGTGTATCTCGAATTGTAGCTTTAGTGAAAAATTCCGATAGAGGAAATAACACAAACTGTGTACTTCCCAAGAGTCGGTGATAATTCGCATTGGGGAAAATGAACTTCTATGAGGGATATATTAGACTTATCAGGACAATAAACCACGTTACATTTGAAGCCAAGATTGATCATGTGGATTTATTTTCATGACTTCAATATGGTAAAGAAGTAACACTCAGGGAACAATTTAAACAGCATTTTAGGCCCACTTGATTTTTGGCGTACCGAGACACCGTCAAAATCTCTAAGTTCAACCTTGGGACTGTTATCGTCAGTGCAGAGCTGTGTCAGATGACAGCAAGCAGTTGCAGCAATAGAGCTTTGGTTAGCCGGACGTTTCCCAGTAAACTTCCTGGATCATCTCGATCAAAATTCAGACCATAAAATCCTTTACGAATTCTTCAGTCTACTGGCCTAACTCTAACTCCGTTCATTTCCCCATCTTTGGTAAACTATGTAGGCAGAACGACAAAGGAACTACCACAAAGGACAAAGAGTACAAATCGGCTTGCCTGATGATGGGAAACAGAAAATCTATTACCGACCCAACTGTGGCGCACCTCGAGGACACTGGATATTAAGTAAATGATGACCCTTTCGAAATAATCCACGGAGTATATATATATATATATATATATATATATATATATATATATATATATCATGTAATTACTTGATAGTAGCGTGTGGGATTGATAAACTTTGTTTGGCCGACTGTCCTTCGGACTCCACGTTTCACGCACAAACCTCAGGTCATCCAACCAATCTTCACTCGGAAGCACCCGACGCGAATTTCGATCTTGTTAGAGCTCATCAGAAGGGCACATCCTCCGCCACACCCAGAAGGTGAACCTGGGTCATAGAGGATCACATTTGAACAATGTTGACTAGGTGACTCGCATCAGCCCGGACGGGAGCTGGGTGGCTCAGAGGTAACACATTCGCCTTCGGCGTGAAGAGGCACAGACTCAGACCCTGGGTGTGGCGGAGGATAGGCTCCACTGACGAGCTCTAACAAAGGGGAAACTCGAGTTTGGTGCTTCTGAGTGCAGATTGGTTGGATGACCTGAGGTTTGTGCTTGAAACGTGGAGTCCAAAGGACATTCAGCCAAACAGAAATCTACCGAGTTCCCGAGAAAGACCCTTGAACTCGGTGTGACCAAAAGGCTGACCCTTAGGTTGAAACTGGAAATGGATAATCACCAAAACACAATTTCATCGTTTACTGGCCTTTTCCCCAACTACAGAACAACAACATTTCCTCTCCCTTCTTACCCAACTACCCAATACCAAGTTTGATGGCTACCCAATCACATTTTACCACACAGTTGTTGTTCATAATTTATGCTTTTCTAATGCATAAATGAAACTGTATCAGCCACGAGGATGGTGTTACCAAAAACCAGCTTGTTCGCTGTTCGTGATTTCTGTATACCACGGCAAATGTTGTGTCAAAAGAGTAGTCCCTAGCTAGGTGAGACATTCGTGTGAATTGCGGGAACACTGAAAGAGAAAGAGTCCGCTTGATAATGTGACCTAGTTTGTAAAGATGGTTTAGAGTGAATGGAGAAGAATTTTTATAAAATCTGGAGCCCACTCAAGGAATCATCGCGTACGCTGGAAAGTGGCTATCCTCAAATAGCCGGTATGATGAACAACAATATTCGCTTTCTACCGATAAATTTCTGTCAGTAGTTTAATCTTTTTTAGACTAGAAGACACTGCCAACTCGAAGAAATTATCCTAACACGGACACCTTTTTCTTTGGTATAGATGTTGAAATAGTAGCAGTTGATTTGAGTTGATTTGTTCTCTGTAGCTCAGTTTTGTGGTTTTTACGGTTGGATGAACGCTAAGCTTGGCATTCAGGTGGAAATACCCGAGCACGGATAATTCCACGTCAGTTGATGCTGGAAAGTTTGCAATCCAGCGATCAGAAAAACTGAAATCTGCACTTAAATAATATGGGGCGTATACAGACGAAAGACTCACTTTTAGAATCATACTGGTTTTTCCAAAGCTATTTCGTCGCTTAATCCAAGACATCCTTCAGGGCGAGGGCACATGGTCCCAAGTGTGAATTTACGACATGCTGTTGCTATACGGGTTTGTTGTATGGATACAGTGCGCAGTACTATACATCAAATTGAATGCTAGGTGATGGAGTTATCGCGTTTTTCAATAGAAGCTGCCGTAAACTTGTCACAACATTTGCAGTCTTCTTTACATAAATCTTATTTTAGTATATGAAATAATGCGTATCCACATTTTCAGTAATTTCGGCTCACTTCTGCAATTTTTGCTCATGTTTGCTCCCTAGCCTTTAAAGGGAATGTTAAGAATTCGTCTATTCAATTTCTTCAATTTGAGGGCAAAATTATGATATTTTCCTGTCCACGATAGCTAAAGATTGTCATTTTGTGGTGTGAATTTGCCTCATAATTTTGGTCTACTGATTACGGTTGCAATTGAACTGAACGCCTTTTAGGCATTCATTTAGTAACAAAAATAATACGGGTTTCCCTTTGTGTCTCTCTCTACCCGCTGAGTTCATCTGATATGTATTAACTAAAGCTCTCCTACGATTTACGGTCCCATCCTCCACAGACTTCCCCTACAATTTTGCGGTTGCGAAATTGGAAGTAGATTGATTCATCTGCAGAACATCTTATAAATGTACTCCTCGGTCAGATTGAGTTTTCCGTATTCTCACACACGAGTCTTTCGGTCACCTAGTATCATCTTTTTAGTCACTTATTAATTTATTTGCTTTATCATTTATTACCCAATCAAAACTATGCCTGAATGAGCGAATTACTTAGTAACCCTCAACCTCATAAGATGAAACACGCTTTCAGATATAAGAAATTCTTAGCGGTCTAGCGAACAAAGATATATCGACTGAATTGCATCGACATAGCTAATCTACTTGCAAACAAAAAGCAATGAGGCACGTTAAAGCTTTCAAAAAATATGTGGTGGTTCATTCATAGGCCAATCAGTTGTTATGGATACGGAATAATTCCCTAAATATTTCAGAAAGAGACTAAGGTTTTCCGAATCTACGCTCCAGTATCAGTAAAATACGCATTGCATTTATTCCGTTGGCATTTATTGAATCTCAGAAAACCATCCAAATCGAATCGCTTCAATCTCCTACTGCATAAAATGAGCAGAGACAATCCCGCCCCCACAGTCTTTCAGACATTTATAGCCCACGTGATAGGATAAAGCAAACCCGTTGGGGGATAGCGGCCATAGCTACAGTTCCTAAAATGATTCTTCGGAATTTCATCTTGTTGCATGCACGTTAGTTGCTCTTGAGTTTTTCGAAGGTTAGTTATCCCTCGAATATCTGATAGTATAATTATTTCTGATTCTAAGCAACTAGTTTACCGCCGTTCACACACCACCATCCATGCCGTTGCATACCAGACACACTACTTTCTATCCTTAATTTAAAGGAAGAGCAAAAAGGGTCATGCTACGACTCCAACTCTACTTACTGGACACTGTCCGGAGAAATTCGTCGTTTTTCTTCTCTCCAAAGTGCGTGATGTTCTTTTATTGACAGATTGATTCCGTAACCTCCAAAATGTCCCCCCTTTACAATGGCAACATTTTGTCTCCTGCTACTTCTACCGATGGCGTTCCTCGAGGTGCCGTACGGACATTATTTTATTTTCCAACAATATACCTTTTTTGCACACAAGAAAATACTCATTCAATCAAGTGCGCGAATGAAGTCATCTTTGTTATGTCGTACACATGATATTCTGTGTCTACTACCTCTGAGAATGACGTCATCAACTCTCAGGATATTCCGGTGCCCCCCTTCGTTTAGGTCTTTAGTAAGGTGATAAAGGATTATCTCTTCCAAAAGGCATTCATTAACCCAATTTTGAAATCCTTGTGTATCCACAACAAATAACTGGAAGTAGCTGAACCCCCAGGATTCAGTTATGTACCTCGGTGTGATATCCTAAGGCAGCCTAACATGGTTCACTAATGAACGCTGTCTTTCGTAAAAAATACGTGTTGGTGTTTTCACATTTCAAGCACCAAGTTTCCGTGAGTAATCATTTATCAAGCATTCTCTCTTCACACACCTTAGCCAACTGGCTGTATTGCTCTGCTGTTACTTTTCCTGACCTGCAGTTGAAGTATTTTAAGATGATCACCTGATCACTTGAGCAACTATTATCTCACAGAGATATTACGTGAAAGCACTTCGAACACATCCCCTCAAAACAGTACCATCATCATCATCATCATCATCATCATCATCATCATCATCATCATCATCATCATCATCATCATCATCATCATCATCATCATCATCATCATCATCATCATCATCATCATCATCATCATCATCATCATCATCATCATCATCATCATCATCATCATCATCATCATCATCATCATCATCATCATCATCATCATCATCATCATCATCATCATCATCATCATCATCATCATCATCATCATCATCATCATCATCATCATCATGCAGCTTTAAACTGCAGGGCAACCCCACTGACCATTGCCTTTCTCATCATGTTGCTGGAAGAAATAACCAGGATGATGATACACGATTAAAAGCAAGGAGACCTAAGGCAGTGAGTGAAAAGGAAAAATGCCCTTTTACTCAAAAGACGGAATAAGCAGTCTAACTGCACAAAAGTACGTAGACTAATCGTTTTGATTCGATAGAAAGTGACATCACGATCGTCACTAATCACGGTTCGCAGCCATATCCTCCAATGTCTCCAGCCAACTGGATGGAGAATTTTTTGGATCCCAACCACGAAGACGTGAGTCACTTACTTCTCCTAGGTTCGCTGTACATTTTCTCATCCCTTGCTGCCGTGTCATCTGTTGTCTTCTACGTGGCTTCTTCCACTCTAGAAGAGGAATGGAAAACAGGACACGGTACGGTAGGTGTGTGTTCGCCGAAAGTTACAAGTGTCCCAACCAACGAAGTCTACTAAGCTGGATAGGCGGTGATAGAACATTCTTTCTACTGGTGTCCAATACCCAATATCTGACCTCAGCGTGGTACACTCAGTCATCCCACTCAGTCCTAATGATACTATGAAATATCGACGATCGAAAACCTCAAGGCAACGACCATCTTATGCAGGCAGACTCCATGTGCCATAACCATGCGAAAGAACTAGACGCTTCGCGGTGCAATACACACGACCTTTCATCTTCAGGTCAGCACCACAGGTGCTTCGTTCCGGTGTACGTCGCTCTAGCCTTGAATATACTCGTGCTAACTTCTACTATCTTTCGGCCATTTGTCGTAACACTGCTGCCGAGGTAAGGGAAGCGGTTGACAATTGCCAGCACCTCCCAACCAAGCATCAAGCTCGGGACCGTTGACGTCCAGTCGAGCAACATCAATTTATACCAGGAAAGTGCAAAGTGCATGCCGAATGGAGCTACAGCGTTTGTGAGTCTACACGGTGCACTTTGTGTGTGTTCCATGCATTCGGAAAAGCATACAAGTTCGTCCGCGTAATCTAGGTCACACAGCTTTTCACTATTTGCCAGTTCGACGACCACATCTTCAGTATTTCGTAAGGCATCCTCCATCATCTCGTCCATGGCGAAATGGGACATCTTTGTCAAACACGGCTGGTCTTCTCGAACGGACTGGATAGATCACTGTAAGGTCTTATACGATCAGAAGTATGACAATACAATGATCTCAGTAGACTCACGAACTTCCGTGGCATACTTTTTCGGTGAAAAGCACTTAGTAGTGGTATTCGCTGAACTGAATCGAAGGCGCCTTTCAAGTAGAGGAAAGCTATTACTGTCCGCCGACGGTGTATGCGTGTGATGCGTTTTATTTAATTGGCGAAGAGGGAAAATCTGATCCTTGGATCCTCTACTTGTGCACAATCCGGCCTGTAGTTCGTGGGCGTTCCTCTTGCGAACAGGTGTCAGAAGGTGCAGCAAAATCGATGCGAATATCATGGTGATTATTGTGATTAAACTGATTCCATGATGAATACTAACAGATGAAGATGGGTACAATCAGTTATTCACCTCATGTTAACGGACTACGCCCCTCGTTTCAAATGTCATAAATCAAGGTGGTAACTCATTTTATCAAAGCATCTCCACCCATTTTGAATCAAACTGGGTAAATCCTTCGGGACCGGCCGCTTTTCCGTGCTTTAGTAATCAGATGCTCGACTCGGCTTTCACTTCCGATGAGAGTTGACGAGATACTGTCCAAAGAATTGCGATTAGTGGCACAGGAGTAGCTACATCCGCAAGCGGCCAGCTAAACTGCAGCCTGAAGTATTCGGCCTAACTTTTGAGCTTTTGCAGTTTATTGTGGATAATCTGTCCGTCTCTAACACACTGTTCTACTGATCCGGGTTTGCCGTCGACCGGTGTCGAAAATAAATTAGAAAAGTCTTCGGCTGTTACCTGATAAAGCTGCTCCTTGTGTTTCTCCGGTCACCATTCCTAAAACTCTTCGTGGATATATTTGTATCTTATTCATCTCCTATCAGTTCGAGAGCTGGCTTTCTTGTCCCATTAGACTCAGCGACTCTTGTGTCTCGGACGAATATCAGATCTAGGTCTACAGGCGAAAGCTGTGATATAGTGTACCGCCCGTTTGACATGAGCTCACTGCTTGTCTACATTACTCTTCGTTGTTCATAACTGGTGTGAACGTCGGGGTCAGACAAACATTGCACGGCTGATTGGGTTTGTGGTTTGCGTCAATGACCATGAAGCTGGAGCGATAATCGCACCAAAACTAATGAAGGGCCCAACTGTATGTACGTGAACCAGTGGGACCTACAATTCTGAACAGAACTACACCACCGGCAGCTTAACACGATATGATCGATCAGCCTCAAAGTACCTGTACAGCCGCATATAGCTCTGACACGAGCTGTGTCTGGACTTCGCACTGGACGGGAATAGCCGGTTGTCTGCACAATAAAGGTGACTGAAAGCACTTGGAGATGACGAAAACATTATTTCTGCTCAGATTACTTCGATTTTCATCTAACATGGACCGCAGCTTTAGTGGAAACCACAGAACTGGGAAACGAGGTAACTTCATCTATATCTCACCCATGAGTATAAATTATGCATGTATCAGACTACCTGAATGGTCTTTGAGGTGTGTTCCACATACCCAACAAAAGATGAATTCAGAACAATGATCTTTATATCGTTCACTGATAAACATATTTCAGGGTGAGATTTATGAAACGAACTACTCTTTACAGGTTTTCTGTGTGAGAGCAATGTACTGAAAACAGAACATTCCGATCGGATGTTTCGTGGATATGACCGGAAGTTCAGTCAATGTCGGGAGTGAACCACGTCTTGAATCTTCTGGTCTACGAATTTAGGATTTACGAAGAATTTCAACCGTCGGAGTTTCGAAACCTCAGGTCTAAGACTAGTGGCAGAAAAGATTGCGTTTTGTGCTCGTGAGCTGCTGTACCCATTATAATACGAATGTTTTGTTCTCCAACACTGAACAAAGTTTGTATCTTTGAACACTTACCAGCAAATGCATCCAGTCTGGCTGGCGGTACATTGAACGAGAATTGACCTCTAACATTGCCTTTGGGCATGTAGTGCGCCACGATGTAAGACGCGTACCCGTCTTGGCTGGTAGCCTGACCGAAACCGACAATTTTTGTGTCTTTCCAAATCATCTGTGTAAAATAACCTTGGGGTAAACGGATTTCAAATGAGGCCTTTAAAACAGTGATCAAAGTAGTTGGAAATTCAAGATACCGACTGTGATTGACACATCGTGCTCAAAAGTATAGATAATGGAGAATCCTTCTGTATTTCTTATGATCGAATGTTTGAGCTCTGAGCCGCAGTCGAACTGGGCAATCTTACTCATACCGGCTCGGTGCTCTATCAATCCAGCTACCACCTTATGGAAATCAGGTACGAATAACGTAATTAAATATCCAGTGATACACAAACCACTATTAAAATGACACACAACAACGGTTTTGGTTCTACTTACTGAGTTAGCTTCGTCTGTCCCTTAACAGTGGTACTAACAGCAAGCAGCTGAATAATATCCCAGTGGTATTGTGACATATATATGCTGGACTTGTTCAAAATGTTAGCTAACAACCTGTACTCCGCCATGTAGTTTGAGCGAAAGAATGAAGGCAAGTTTATCAATGACAAAAATACTGGGAAGTGACAAAACAAGATTCCACAACGAAATCATTGGTCGGAGAAAGCCGAAACCGACTGGCTGACTATGTGGATGGCGAGTGAAAATAATAAGTATAGTTTATGACTTCGAAGATAGTGAAAGGCATCCAAATGTTACCATCACATTTTCGATATTCTACAATTGATTCTGACCTCTGGGTGATCAACAATGAAGACCCTGCCTGACCGACCTCCATCAAAATCTGGTGGTCGCTCTAACTAGCGTCTGCATTGAACTTCCGATGCCTCGTGTCAGTAAACCGAGGCCAAGCCAATTTCGGTTTAAGCTGGTCTTGGTTTGCACTTTTATCTTATGGTGATTCTTCCCCAATTGTGTACTGTTCCTCAACCATATTCCGTGGTGTACGAAAGAAAATTGGGACGGTAACTTCCCATGAACCCAACGAATGTCATTCGTGTTTCCATCATTTCAAACAGCTTTTACGTTCAGCTTTACACATATTGTTCGAAGTAATAAACAAGTTATAAGACATCGTACAGAGGACTTTATGCATTTCTCCTCCATCCACGTATCCTTCTGTAGTTTTACCAACATATCAAGTCAAATAGTCAATATAGTTCTCTGAGAATGATTTCTACTTATACCGAGCTCTCATAATGCACGCTGAGAACGGTCAGTTAAGCAACTGTCGTTGAAATGCAAAAGTTTTCATCTCTTATTTGAAAAATGATTAAAAAGATGAACAGAAGAGTTTTGATTTATATGTGGCCCACATCCAGTGTACTTGACTAAATAATTAGAAAATAAATTCACAAAGTAGCAAAATACTAAACAGTGAATTATACCGCAGTGTAAGGCAGAGGACGGGGAAGATATACCTAATGAAATGCTTATTTTGTCCGAAGATTAGGCCTGAGAAATGGAGCTTAACAGTAGAGGTAAGGTATACATGTTAGTAACATAAACGTTGAACTCGTTACTCTCTAAACTAAGACCGAACAGACCCAGTCCTTTTTGAACTACACGTTGATCTTGCCTGGACAATGGATGATGTGTTGTTGACCCCAGTGACTTGCTTACAGACTCGCTGGTGGGTTTGATCCCCTGGAATTCAATCGATTCTGGATTAAATTGTATTTAACCCGTAGTAATTCGCGGAGCCACCAGTATTGATATTTGTACAGTTCTTCTGGGATTACTTCAGGAGAAACCACGTGGAAAAGCACAATCTGACTTTTGGCATTTTTGGATGACATCGCGCGTGCCTCTGACAGGAAGCTGATTCTGATAGACTCAGACGTAAAATATTATTGCGGATGGGGTTTGTTGCGTAGTTTAACTGATTTTTCTAAACTCCTGATGGCCGGAGTAGATGTGATCCAAATCCTTTTTCGTCACCTATCAATAAATACGGACATTTTTTCTGCTCGTATGGTGTGTTACTGGCTTACGATTAGCCGTTGACTATTTCTATACAAACCGAACACTAATATTTTTGTAGCTGAGTTGTGCGTTATCTTATTATCGGTAAGTTCATCAAATCATGAAACAAACCTCTTTCAAATACTTCCCTAACCTTCTACTTTTTTCCAGTCAACATTTCGGTTGCTGCACTTAAACTTTCTTAAGATGGATTGACAATGCATTGCCCTGACTGATAGTTAACAAGAATTTTGTGGTTGCAGACTAGAGGTGGTCTATGGTCGTGAGCATATAGCATCCACACAAAGAGAGCCTTTTAGCCTGTCAAGTCTCACCTGACGTCTCGATTCTCTCCAGTGCCTTAATCAGGTTGCAACCAGAAAGTAGGAGCTTACCCTGGGATGCATTGATTTTGGTGCGCCAAAAATATGCCACTTCAAAATAATGATCTACATTCTATGATATTCCCCCAACTGACCTCTGTTTCCTCACATCTGGTCTTTCATTTTCAGTAATGGTAATTTATTACCTACTCTAAACCACCCGAGTGATTGCCAGTGACACCTCGGTTTATTCATTCATTCATCTTTACAGCAACCATGCCACATCCACACCCACGTCCATACCGTCATATAATGTGATGTCATAGGAAACCAGGCCTAGATACTTTTGTCATGTGCGGAGGTAGATGTTATTCATCTCTGTGCACGAGAAGTCATATTATTTTTGTTTTACTGTAAAAGTATGCCACATCGCCCGAACTCACTTTCGACAACAATGCATCTTTCACCACTGGGAATTCCCGTGACCTAAACACAGGCTTTGGCAGAGGATACACGGGTGTTGTCCCGTAAGTTAGAAATCAATACAAATAAAGGTAATACCTGAAAAATGCACTTTGTTTGTCTTGGTCCTGAGGTACTGGCGACTTGTCTGTTCCTGAGCCGGCCTTCTGTAGGCAGATTGCATTACGATCGTTTTGGAGCTCTTTTCCCGGCAATTTTTTGTTTAATTATTGTTCATGTGCTACCGAAAATCTACGACGCTATATTTTTACCGCTTCTGATAGATTTGGGCAATTGCACTTGCTCAGTCCTAAAATAAGTGTTTTTCGATCAATTGCCTTAGTTCTTTTAAGATAAAAAAAAATTCCGAGTAATTCTTCAATTATTGTATAGAAGAATTCTTTCATAATTTGGAACACTAGTAACTTACAGGATTCATAAGTCATTTCGCCGTTGTAATCGTGAAATTCGCTTTGCATGTACCACATTTTAGACGCATCTGCACCTGTTGACACAAATAAACACAAAGGATGGAAAGACAGTTCGGTCAGAGGGTGGAAAATGAGCCATGTATTTCCGGTATGCTAAATGATGAAGGCAGATACAAGAATTATTACGCATTCGGACGATGAACGTTATATGTGGGTTAGTTGAATTTAAATAAATCTTGTTTTTTTTCTCGCTTCTAGGCTCACATTTTTGTCAGATTTGTGAGGTACTGATGGTGGCAAAAACGTGGTTCATCCGAACTGAAGGTGGCTACAAGGGTTACCACTTGTTAGTTATTGCTGATACATCATTATATAGAATGGTCCTAATGCTATTATATACGAGATGAAAAGTGTATATTAGAGCTGTACTGCATGAATTTCAAGTAGACCTCTATATTATCAAGCTAGCACACTAAAAGTTCCACCTAGAATGATAATGACGACGAAAAACAGTGGTACAATGGTACTTGCACAAATGATGCAGAAGTAACACAAATGCCAGGACTTGATGTTACCTTTCAATTCCTAAACTGGAAACAGAGCAAAGCAAATGAGGTTTGAATCGAATGAGAATGTTCTGCTTTGAGTGAAAGAAATTCTTGTGTTTACGGGTGGTTGTCTTTGTTTTATTTCGTAGACCTGTTTTCAGGTGTGTGGTTTTATCAATGACTGATCACGTGTGAAACTCTTTTCATCCTCGTAAATAAAGGACGGTGTTTCTGAAACGCACAAACTTACCAAAAGAAATGTTTTAATCTGATATATCTGAATATATGTTGTATGCATCTGCGGCCATCTTTCAACGACTGTCAAGCAACTACGAGAGAAAAGCACGGGCTTTTGGCCCGAAACTTTGCCAAACCATTGAGAAAGATATATATTTTAGTAACAAAACTGGTACTGACAATCAATAAGCCTCTGAAGGCTGTGCGATGACGTTGCACGCGGATCGCATTTATTTATCTCAGAAATCTGATGCGGTATTCTAAGCCCTGCTGGTTAAGCTGATCAAAGCTATAACCAGCGGAAGCAGTTTCAAAACCATTTGCATTTTGGAACTTAACCGAGACATCTGACTACGTCAAATGGATTGAGTTAAAATTGGTTTTGACACACGGCTTTCAGATAAAGGCAAATCGTTCCCAAAAGATAGTCCCAGTAAGGCATCTTCAACGGAATCGAGACAGCAATAAGACGGTAAACCGTGCGATTTCACGGAATCTGCATTGACTGTAATAAATTTTTAGAACCGGGCAACAAATATTCATACCAAGTCCAATCATTTATAGTCTATCTCAAAAATTCCCGATGTCTTCTATAAAAAGTCCACTATGTTGGGAGCTGCCACTTATGGGTTACAGAGTGTGAGAAAGCTAACTAGTAACTTCAGGATAAGAATCCGTGACTCTCACCTCTTGTATCTTTAGGAGGCCAGTCAATTTCAAAGGGGCGCAGCTCGTGGGGTGAGTACACAGTGCTCCAGCCAATTTTTGGTGTTCTACGTTCCTTACTTCCCAGAACACGTTTGTTCTGTTGGTCAGGCAAATTGAATCAGCTTTTCCTACGATAAGCACATTTCTGATTTCCAATACTTTGTTTTGGTTTAATAAATGTTACCTTGTCCGCTGGCTTGGAGTGAACCTCGAAGTGACACATCAAGGGAACAATATGAAGCATAACTCAGGACCTTTCGAAGTTTCCTTCGCTTTTGGTCTTGCGATTACACAATCAGATACTATTTATTCAATTGGCACAAGGAAAATGCAAACATCGAGTTTTCCAAAGAGCTACAAATATGAGAATAGCTAACTTCTCGATTTCCCCGAAGCCTACATGACTTACGGTGCTCTCTCCTTACGTAAGTAAGACCATCACTGTAAAGTAGTTTGAATGCTTAGACCATTCTTTTTTGCAATAATCGCACACAGTTTCGTAAACCGTATTCCTTCACAATTGATTCCCGATAAAACTTCGTTCCACTGTCAGAGTTACGCTCAAGAAGTGGATGGTATCCACTTTAATGAGCATTCGTAAGCTGCATGTTTTTAGAATTTGTGGGTCTTTTCATTTATCAGTATACGGGTGATACAGAGCACTGAAAGAAGCTGTCGTACGCATTATACGATCTTTTTTGTTCTGCCCAACATTTGTGCATAGGTACAATCTAAATATCCTCTTTATCTCTGAGCCCGTCCCTCAGGTCAAAATCGTTCCATCAGTAGCTGAGGTGATATAATCATTTACCAAAGAATTTTACTTACCGCTGAAAAAAATTTCACTTGTTATGCCCATGAAGGCTAAGTTCTCGCCGTACGTCGTCTGATCACTATGTCTCATGCATTGTGTTCCGGCCAAATCCTCCGCCCATTTTTGTGCGGATCGAGCCAGTGCTGAGTCGAAAGCCAATGGGGGACAGCCATGCATGGCTCGATATCTAAAACAAGATTAGTGGCCCACGTGAGAGCGGATTACTCAGTACAACCAGGAGACTATTTCAGAATTCTTGTGTTTTTAGAACCGGAGCCTCTATCATATCCGTTACCTGACAGAAATATTTAGCCTAAATTAATTGTGGAATTTTGTTTCATTCCTTGCCGATTCCATCTCTGTATAACTCCGGGACAAAATATTATGATCCGTTCAGGCACAGAGGGAATCGATTTCCATTTCTGAGAGATCCGCGAACCTCCGTTACAAAATAAGTCCACGAAAAGTTAGTTGGTAACGTTAATTCTCTGACTTGTTCATTCTTGTATTTGAAGCTTACTGTTCGAGTTTTACGGACACATTACAGATTTTTGACTGCTAAAGCACGATCGGTAACATCTTTACCAATACACCAAAACAGGTAGACAGATTACTGACCCCATGACAGTTTTTCTCACACTCAAATTTACTCGAAGGCTTTCTAATAAATACTTTTACGGAATCCTCCTTAGTATATGTGAACCCATAATAACCGGAATTTTAAATTTCACCACCGCTGGCTTATCCATGACGGTCACAAATGGATGTTAATAACTAAGTTCCCATCACTGAACCCTTTCTCTTAATTATCAGTTCAGAAGTCATTGTCACGGTTTACCACATCCCACTCAAAAAGGGTCAGCGCATTTGCCCAATTTGCTAGATCTAGCTGAGCTATTTGTTGTCATTTAGTCATCTCTTTATTTGACACATCTTTTCCACAGATTAACCGCACTTCGGGATAGATGGTAGGTCAACGGTAGCTTGGTCGATGCATCTTCGAAGGCTACCGCGTGCGTCCTATAATGCAGTCATGTCACGGAAGCGGGTCCTATCTCGCTCTAAATAACGTCTGCATTGAAAATGTTTTGAATTGACGAGTCTGCCTGATCTTTTTGATCACTTCGATGCTGTCGTCCGATCTAACTGGCTAGTTTGATAAGGCAAGCACTGCCGACCAAAAGCAGAGTCAAGGCTGATGCACCCATCAATTACTAAACACCCGAGGTGAAGAATATGTGATTTATTATCTTGTCAATTTGTTACCACTTCATATAAAACATGTCTCACATGTTGACAGTACGCACTGCGATCGATTCGAGTAGTGCATACTCAGTAGGTGAACAGCGACCTGCAAATGAAACGTAGTCTTGGGACACAAAGAACGGGATTCATCAGTTATTAGCACCAAGCGTAACCATCAGTTCCTTCGAGTGCATTTTTTGTGGATTGCCTGTGTCTCCTTTTCATTCCAGTATTGGTCATGCGGTCATAATCATGAATTTCAGACCGGGTTCGATTCTCACCAATGACATTCACTTTCTAACTCGGCAACATTCGATTGGCCGCAGTCCTCTTCCAGAGATGGTGTTTTGTGCACCAATGAAGGCAAGGGAGCATACTCATACGAAATGCAACCCACAGCGCCATCAGGACTGAACCGGCATCCGCAGCCATGTGAAGTACAGTGAACTTCTACGTGAGGTGACAATATTTCAGGTGTAGTAACAGCGGGATGCTGATTATTCGATACCGAATTTAAGGGCGAATTAACTGTGCCATGCGGATGAAAGAAAAAACTGTCGTTGCACAACATAATCCAGTAGTAGATGGCTCGTCAAATTGTGTCTGTCATTGTATATTGTTTTGTCACTTTCATACTCCGGTGATACGATCATCAACCAACCGAGGTAGCTTGACAATTCAACACCACTGATTGCTTCTCGATTTCTGAAAACGTTTTAGCGATTGTTTTCACGTGACTTACCCAACATGGCATGATTTACAACGCGATCGGGATTTTGTCAAGTTGCTTAAAGTTGCTTTTAAACCATACCAATCAGTTGTTAGAAGTAACTTTCAAAGTATTGATTATGGATGACCAGAAGTTGCATAGTAAATCCGTGTTTAAAATGCAGTAAAGAATCAATTTAATTTGTTTGTGATATTTTGGTGTATTCGCAAAATCGGTTCCTTCCTTTGGACCCATCAAAATCGGGATGAGTAAAACTTTCTGTCCAAGTCGATCTAATAACATCAAAAATAAAGTTTCATGAGTGAGATTTTTTGTGAAATGCGAATGTTTCATGCATCACGGAACCAATTCAGACACTCACTGGTGAAACTGATGGATTAGTCAACGTCTGATTATTGTTTGTGATACCGTTGTCCACTGAGTCCCCTGCCTAAAAGCCATTCATAGCGGAAAACAATGGGTGTCAATATGACAGCGTCCAAAAGGTCGGTAACCCATGAAAGCTACATTTGTAGTGTTCACTGTAAACAAGGAGCCGTCCCGGATGGCTGAAAGCCTTGAAATATTTTGATTTGCAGTGCATCTTCGTTTTTCGTTTGTTGAGAAGCTCCTAATACCGGATGTTTTATGACACTTTCCTGGAATACGATTCGAAAGAGGCCATTCCAGTTCAAGCTTCATATTTGTGAGAACTATATCACCATTAGGCACTGTTTGATAAATATAAATAAATAATACAAGCCCTTTTCTGTCTTAGGAAGGTACTATAACATCTCAGCAGATATTTGACATGTTCTATGTAAGAATGTTCAAGATTAGTTCATGGAGGCAAAGGGAACTCATGCACGTTTAGGAAATTACTAAATAAAGACCGCCAATGTCACTCACAGAAGCACATTTTTAACTCGAGCGTCGATTTTTACTTGGTGAGACTTACTCTTGTCTGTCATCTCAATTATCTCTACGTACCACTTTTCAATAAACACGTAACAGTGAGAATTCGAAATAGCGAAGTTGAAAAGGAAATATCTGTTCTAAGATGGCAAACTTTGATTGGAATGTAAAATCGTAAGGCGCCTTTAGGGGAGAATGTTTTGCCAGCGTGATAACCCAGCGGTTAAATGATCTCAGCTGAGATTCCTGCCACACGTTTCCCACATGTGTATATGAATCTAACCAGGGGTGCTGTCAACGCACACACTTCCGACGCCTGTGGATTCTGACACCCGCCGGGCTGTTAATTCCATTAGTTTAGGAGCCCGACCATCTCAGCATCAATCGCCACCGGAATCCATCCGTAGGCTTAGCAAAGGCTTGGCTGTGTAGTCCATAAATCCTAGTCAATGAATAGAAAAGGGAAGGCCGAGGGGTCTGAAGGACTTCTTCTAAGGGTGTATATCGTATATGACTGATACCCCTGAGTTGCCCCTTAACAAATTATTTAAAGAACATGCAATTTCTGAACACTGGAGACAGATCCACATTGCTTTCATGCACAAAAGAATCGATGAAACTCACCAAACGGCTTGCACTACTATCCTGAAATTGTATATAATGGAAAATCCACTTGCATTTTCCATATCAAAAAGTTGGACGCTGGCTTCTCGTGCCAACAATACATTCTCTGAATATATACTCAAATTATTGAAGAAAAGCTTTGTTTCTCACCATTAATTAGGTATGGATAGTCCAGTAGACTATCAATTTGTTCAAGGTAACAAAAGTTCCACCGTGGATTCCATCGAGTAATAATTCGGCTCCATTATATCCTTTTTTAATGCTCCATTACTTCCGTTTTTATTTATCATGCAACAAAATACAACAATTCAGGAACTCGGTAATGGCCAATGAAGGGCTGCCAAGGGAGGAAGCAATCGGAGGTGGAGGGAATCGAACCCGGGTCGTTATTTCGAAAATCCACGATGATAACCGCTTGACCCCACTTGAAAAGTTCTGGCATTTAGCGTCCTGATCACAGTAGCGTGTCCAGTTGCACCGATAGAAATCCACCCTAACTTATGTTCAAAAAACCAGCATATTAGGACTTCTTTCTCCCATAATTCGAGACTGATGGGCTCAGGTTGTATTTCCCAGTGGTTTCCCTCTGATCCACTCTCCTTTCGTTCGGCGTACTGCATGTCTTTATTGTTTCTCCTTTTCGTTTGTTCTGAAAGTTCTCAAATTACCTCGAGCTTAAGAAGAACTTCGACTTTATTTCGTGGGAGGCATCAAATCAGGTACTAACATGCAATTCTAAGAATTTTGTTGTTTCTTATATTCTTTTTACAAATTTTACTCCTTGTAGCACTTCTCTTTCAGTTTAGGGACACGAAATAGCGTTTCTTTCCGCAAACCAAGGAAGTACTTCAATAATTACCCAAAAGCAAATGTCCATTACTGCAGGGTTTCCCTTAGTTATTCAACATTTTTGCACGGTTATTCATCAGTGTCACACATTCTCCGTCATACAGCTTTTTCCCAGCCTTGTCGCATTATTCTAAGCTAGTGAACATGGGCTCATCAAACGTAAGTATTTTTTCGAGAAATGGGCCAGAAACCTTGTGTGTTGACCAGTTAACTAAAGATATAGAAATCAGTAGTTATTGCCTCGTTTGCTGATTGTAGCTGTAAGGCTAGCTGTCTCTAGTGTATCACTTTCGCATCCAACAAACGCAGTATGAGTCAAACACGTGCATAAATGTTCAAAGTTTGTGAAAGATCGGAGACATTCCAAATGCACAAAGCATGAGCTTCACTTTGTTTTATCAATGTGCCCTCAGTTAGGCAGAGTTTTACGTGACTGAACGAAATCTTTCCGAACCTGAACTGGTTGCTACACACAGAAAATTGGTGATTTTCATTTACTAAGATAAACTAGTTATTCAGGATCTGTGTCTTGTCGTAATCAGTAAACAGTCCCGTTGTGCACAGATTTGATTGGAACCCATGGGTGACAGAATCGGTGCAGCTCACTTCAAAATCAATAGATTTACTTGGTTAGAATGGTGCCTCACAGTCGATGAATGGTGCAACGGAGCTGAAAACTGTCTAATATTACTGAAACTTCTGCAAAATAAACGAACCCCAGTGTGACTAGAATCAGTCACAAAGTGAGAGCCAGATAAAAATAACATGGACTAATTACGGAGTACAATAATATACCTGTTCCATTAAAAGTGAGATTGTATCAGTCAGCAATAGTTTGCCAAGCAAATAATGGGCGCTGTGATTTCAGTGTGTTAATAATTAATGTTTATGTATTTTTATCTGATTCCTTTATCTGGCAACAAAAGATTTCAGTGCAAGTAAAGCAGAACAGCGCAAGATTGTTTTGTGGGGGGGGGGGGTTCCTGATGCACTCAAAAAGGTTTTTCATATAGGTAACATCATGGTGTGATTGATAATGCTTATGGCATTGAGGTCCACACTTATGATACTTTTAACATCAAGGAACGAAGTAATATAAATTGCGCAACTTAGTAAGTAACCAGCTATCCTGCTGAACAATAAAAGATGGTTAGTATCCGCCTGCTCAAAAATGAATATTTTATAAAATGGCTCTTCACAACGCAAACCTCTTTTAGGCTGTTTTTTACTACGGTAGTATTGCACTACTTACGAGCATAAACTCGAAGGCAGTAATGTAGGGTAACATAACAACCTATTACGTCTCTTCTGTCGTTTGTGTAAACCTCTTCATCGATCAATACCATGCACGTTGATTTCATTGTCATCTATACCAGAAGAGGTCTGAAGTACTAATGACAACTCGTTCCTGATATGAATTTCACACATCGAGTGGCAATCGCAAAATTTGGAATGCATTCATAATTGACTTATCTGTTTTTTTATAGATTTACGGGCTATTTCACCGATACTAAGGAGGATATTCTTCTCTTCTTTTCTGGGATTTCTAGGATCCCTTATCACCCGTTATATCGGTCTAGGTTATTGTGAATTAATCTGCCGATATTAGTATGAGTCATTCTTCCATTCTCTAGGACCGTTGGAATTCACTGTCCAGACAAAGTTTGTTCTCTCAAATTCCGGAATTCGGGGACCTCAAACCGGACCGTAAAAGCTTCTTAATGGCAGAAAAAATCTTGATTCACTTCAGGAAGATGAACTCACCGATTATGAGCCGTCAAGGCTTCCTGATTCAATGAATCCATCGCACGGCCTCTACTGTTCAGCAAGATGCTCGATCACGCAGAGCTTCAGGGCGCACTCGGTGTGCTTCTTGGTTGATACAGAACTCCAAACAGTCTGAATCTTGTCCCTGTACTGTCTTACGGAGACTCTAACAACAGCACCATAAACGGAACCTATCAGCATGTGGCACTATGTGAACCCAAAACGCAACACTTGCACACTACCTCTCACACACCAACATACTCACTCCAACTCAGTTCAGATTCTTACAAGCCAGTCACCATGCAGACACTGAACAATGCAAAGCAAGGTTTACCAACCGAAGTTTGTCGCCAAGATCCGGTTGGTACACTGAGGTCAAGTGGCTCGTCTACTGATGATTCCATTTGGCTTGCTTAGTCAACCGTTATAGGTTTTGCTAGTGCAGACTCAGACATGTAAACACACAACAAGTCCCACACGCTCAAATTTCGCGTGTCCTCAAAGGCTGCTCAGACATAAAGACACGCACACGCACAAATGAACTGCTGCGGAGAAACACACGCACGATGCACCATATCAGTATCAGACAACCACGCACGTGAATCAATTGGCTTGCCTACGGTTCTAACACGGATTCAGGACTCAATTTAACTTCTATAGACAGGGGAATGTTAGGATGCACTGAGGCCAAATCGGATGGTTGCAATGTGGCAACAGAGTAATTTGGCGGTCATCTGGCAGGTATACTTTGAAGTCCATGTTGTGTATCATAAGCCAGACTAAAAGTAGACGCATAGTATCTTCAAGTGGATAAGAAATAGTAAACAGTGTAGGCAATCGATTTTATCTAGAATGACCTGATAATAATGGGGTAGGTTTATTGTTGGTTAGATAGAGGGCAGTGACCTAAACAGTAAAAAATATCGATGGCATTACTGTAGGCTTTGGATTTTCCTACAGTAATATGAACGAAAACTTGGCGAAATAAGTCGCATAAATGTGCAGGCCATTTAGTTATTGTGTCACAGTCGAATCACTTTCAGATTCAACCGGAATGTAAAGCGATTACCAATAAACTCAGGGCCCAAATGGCTTTTTCAGGGACAGCCGAAAATGATGATCTTGAGCACTGGAGTAAAGAATCAGAGACGGCTTCACTTTGCCAGTAGTTGCGACGATCTGTGAGATAAACGAATGGTTCCTACCATGATTTCCATGTATCTTTTACAGCATTGGAATTGCGATTAGAGTTTTAGATCAGCCTAAGTTCCGGTTTTCACAAAGAAATAAGCGCAAGAAGCCAGTTGATCCGGGTTTCTATCTTAAGGAGATTTTCCGGAAACAAATAGTTTTATTTTTATGAAACACTTTATTCCCGGTTGAATTTGTGGAAAAATCGTGCAGATTATTCCGACTGGTTAAACAAATCAAGAAGCAACGGAGGTTTTCTTGTATTAACTGATACTGGTTCATTGTGATTGCCGTAACCCACAGATGCGGAGTTTGTCAGCTTCATTTTGATGAAACGCGATTCTTGAGCATTATACGTGCATTTAACACTGCGAGAGCTCCATCAGCCGATCTGGGAATCCACTCCAACGCGTTTGGGCTTGACCGGTGGTGGTCTCATGTTTGAAGCACTCGACATTCACCTCGGAGGTCATAGAGTCGAATCCAGTTGACTCCGATCTCTTTGAAGTTATAGTTACGGGTCATGCATTTATTAGGATTTTCTGTAGTTTTGCACATTGAGTTCCACGGGTATCAATATTGCCTCAGTGGGCCATTGAGGCTGCGTGGTAGAACCCTTCTGCTGTATTAGGAAGACTAATTAGGCAAAGCGGGAAAATATATTATGAAGCATAAATACTTTTATTGATCCCTGTCGGAGTTCATCGAACACAGAATTCATTTTGCAAGAGAAGCTTTATAGACCCAATAAGAATGAAGAGCTTGCAAACGTAATTCCATTTTTGAGAAGTGTTTGACAGTTTTCATAGGCTTAAGTTCGAATAAAGCAGCCAAAAGAATTGTTTCATACAATATTCCCGGAACCATTTCTCTGTATGTTTACTAGCGCACACTGCAGTATCAGTAAATATGCATGCAGTCAGAATTAAAGTGGATTGTGAATGAGTCAAATATACAGACAAAATATCTCCGCAATACCAGCAAAGCACAGAAAAAGTGACGTAGATTCTAGAAAGGTATGACTAAGCATAGAGTCTTTCCAATCCGATTGATCGTTGTGCATCGAGATATTGAATCAGACCTGGTGACTGATTCCGAATCTTCTTACGATATCAGACTATGGAACTACATGGAAGCGAAATAGGGTCTTGGCCCCGTATTGATGAGACAAACTTGCCGACTTTCCCGTGCCATTCTCTATAAGCGTGTTGTTTGTTCGTACGCCATTCTGCCTTCGTCAAATTCCACATTTTTAATGAAGTAAACAATTGCTATGATCGTGTTTCCATTTGAAAATTTAAAATGATGCTGAATACATTGCACAAAGTACTATTTTGGGCATTTTTATTCACTTACAATGCGTCTTTCTTGAAACAAACAGTTTGAATAGGGGTACTTTTACACAATCCGGTTTCATGTGCACATTCATTTCATTCGACGGAAAAAGGACCTAAGTTTGGATGAATGGACACCTGAGCCTGAATGTTGGCATGATAAAGGGTTCTCTATGGTACTGAATCAGAACAGTTGAGGAACCCTACAAGTCATTTGCTGGAGCCTAATAGGAAGTGGTTGAACTACACCCTTTCCCATCAAGCTTTAGCCAATATCCGCAATTCCTTAGCCACGACCAATCATTCTTTAGGCTTGACGCACAACCATTAGCCATGCTGCTGCAGGCCAGTCAGGTCAAAAGTATCGAAATATAAAGACATCAAGAGATCTGAATTGTTTGAACAGTCCCATGGTCACATTAAAAAGACAACATTGGAGAGCGAACAATTGTTTTCAATGATTCCTAATCTTGCTCTTACACATTATATAGGTGACAGTTATGCATTTGATTGGCCGTTGGCTGGCGGACCCTGGCCACGGCTGAAGCGATCGCCATACGTCTACTAAGCCCGGATCTGTGCGCGCAAAAGCGACTGGTTCAGGCACTTCAGTTGCCTTGGCCAAAGACGGAGCATCCGAAACGAAAAACGACCTCTGAAAACCCACTAACAGTGGTCGATTCAGCATCACCACACACTAACTGACAAACACCACACCATCTCCCCCTCCCCCCACACTACTGTAAAAATGTCCTTCAACCCAGCCAACGGCCAATCAAATGCATAACTGTCACCTATATGATGTGTAAGAGCAAGATTAGGAATCATTGAAAACAATTGTTCGCTCTCCAATGTTGTCTTTTTAATGTGACCATGGGACTGTTCAAACAATTCAGATCTACCAAGTCACCCTCTGTGGTAAAGGAATTGAATGCGTTCCTGAAGTTTTCCACACGACTTGCGGAGGCTACGACACATGTGAAATTCCTTAAAAATTGTGTTAGAATCAATGAATACCCCAAACGATTTTGGAAACAACTGCGCCGAAACCGGATTTACCCTAATAGTAAAACCCTTCGACGGCATGCTTTAAGTGTTTGTGACTCAGTGAAATCCAAAATAACGGAATTCGAACGGAATGTTTCACAACGACAACATTATGTGGACAACCTGCCGGAGGAGGAAATTTCCGAATTTAATGAATTCGTAAGTCGAATCTGTGCACTCCGCGTTCAAATTACTCGTGATCGCTTGATTAGTGGTATTAATCCCCTAAAACCACCAGTCGCCTTTCCGAGCAATCCTGATAGGATTGTACGCAATTACTCCAGTACCACTCTAAGTCAAATCTTGATGGAGGCTCTTTCTTTGGGATGGAAGTTCTGCTGTTCTGTTAGAAAAGACGATAGACTTGATTTGGAGGTACAATTTGAAAATTTATTGAGTCAAACTAAGGACCTGACACCCAGAACGGATATCGATTTAGAACGATTCAAAAGTGTGCTTGTGGCGAGCTGCTACAGCTATCGTAAAATTCAGATACAAAGTCGTGGACTGATCACCAGACAACACCTGGACGCGCTGAAGGAGCTGCGTAAGAACAAGGACGTAGTATTATTGAGACCAGATAAAGGTTCCGGTGTTGTCCTCATGGATAAACGAGAATACATTGAAAAACTTTTCAGATTGGTAGAAGACCAGACAAAGTTTTCTGTCTGTCACAAAGGAAAAGACGAAACCGAAAAGATAGAGAAAGAACTAGCCGGATGCCTAAGACGACTGAGAGATCAGGGCTGTATAAACAGTGCTACATACGAAAAACTAAAACCAAATGGATCGACCATTCCACGCCTCTATGGACTTCCGAAAACCCACAAAGATGGTATTCCAATCCGACCGATAGTGTCGATGACGAATTCTCCGTACCAAGCAATAGCACAATGGCTGGTAGAACTCTTGGAACCCATTCGCATAAGACTCGCTAAACATAGTCTGCGAGATAGTTTTCAGTTTGTGTCCATCATACAGAATGTAAACTTACACAAGAAAACCATGGTGTCGCTTGACGTGGTGTCGTTATTTACAAATGTGCCATTACTAGAAACCGTGGGCTTTCTATGTGAATTCATTAGAACATCCAACACACAAATAGGCATTCCAGTAGAAGGATTGAAGGAACTGCTACTAAGTTGCACTCTCAATGTTCAATTTCTGTTTAATGACTGCTTCTACCGCCAGCGAGACGGTATCGCCATGGGTTCCCCACTGGGTCCTGTGCTAGCGGACATATTTATGGCGAAATTAGAAAGCGGGAAACTTGAGAAGACAATAGAAACTTTGGATTATTACATTCGATACATGGATGATATTTTCTGTATAGTGGACGACGATCGTAATGTTTCAGCTATTCTAGAAGACTTCAAGCGTGCTCATAGCTCTGTTGATTTCACAATGGAAAAAGAAGCCGAAAACAAACTACCTTTCCTCGATGTGTTGATCACCAGACGGGAAAA